CTTTCTTTACCTTTCAGGGTCTATTCAGGGAAGCAGTTTATTACCAGAACAGATTGAAGACTGGAGTGAATTTGTATGAAGGGAGAAATTGACATTGTGAGAGGGCAAAACACTGGGGAACAGTCGATTGCTGGTTTAAGTCTATTACCGGGGAGAGTAGGGGAGGCGACGGCTGAGTGGTATTACTGCTGGACTGTTAATCCAGAGAGCCAGCTAATGTTCTGTGGAAGACCAACAGGAGGCTGGAAGAACACAGCAGGCCAGGCAGCATCTGGAGGAAAGGGGAAGTCAACATTTCGGGGATTACCCTTCTTCAGGACTGAATGTGGGGGTAGGTGGAGCTGCAGATAAAGAGAGGTTGGGGGGGGTGGGGTAGCAGAATGGAGGTGATGGTGAACACCGGTAGTAGGTACAACTTTGTTGGTCGATGGCGGGGACGCATCTGGTTGGTGGCCGGAAGGGAGGATCAGTAGGTGGAATGGAAGGGAGGAGCTGGGGCTGGAAAGGATATGAAGGTTATTTGAAATTGGAGAACTCAATGTTGAGTCCTCCAGGCTGTAGGGTGCCCAGGTGGAAGATAAGGTGTTATTCCTCAAATCGTTGTTGTGAATCGCTGTGATACTGGAGAAGGCCAAGGACGGACATGTCGGAGGGGGAGTGAGACGGGGAGTTGAAATGGGTGGTGACCGGGAGGTTAAGCTGGCTGTTACGAGACAGGTGAAGATGCTCAGCAAAACAGTCACCTAGTCTACATTTGGTCTCACCGGTATAGAGTAGAATGTTCTGTGGACACAGGTTCAAATCCGGTCACAGGAGTGAATGTGAATAAAGAGTCCCAGGGTTATCAGAAAAACCCATCTGGTTCACTAATGTCCTTTAGGGAAGGAAACTGCCATCCTTACCTGGTCTGGCCTACATGTGACTCCAGACCCACAGCAATGTGGTTGACTCTTAACTGCCCTCTGGGCAATTAGGGATGGGCAATAAATGCTACCCTACCCAGTAACACCCTCATCCTGTAAATGAATAAAAAAAACAGAGACCTTGAGTACAAGTCCGCAGATCAATGAAGGTGGCTGGATAGGGAGATACAGTGGGCAAGAAGACTTGAGGCCTCTTTTGGCCTTTATTTAAGAGCTAGGAAGCTATGCAGGAACTGCAAAAAAAAAACACACTAATTAAACCACAGCAGGAGTATAGTGTGCGGTTCTGGTCACCACACTGTCAGAAAGTTGTGAATGCATGAGAGTCGGTGCAGGGGAGATTTACCAAGATGCTGCCAGGACTGGAGAATTTTAGATATGAGTAAAGATTGGACAGGCTGAAGCTGTTTTCACTGGAACGGAGGAGGCTGAGGGGAAACTAATAAGGGATCCAGATAGAGAGAATAGGAAGGACCTATTCCCTTTGGTTGTGGGGCCCATAGCCAGGAAGACATGAATTTAGGATAAGACAGAGATCGCGAGAGGAATTGAGGGGAAATGTTTTCACCCAAAGGGTGGTGGGGATCTGGAACTTACTGTCTGGCAGTGTGCAAGAGGAAGAAACCTCACAACCTTTCAAAAATGATTTAGATATGCGCCTTGAAGTAGCAAACCCTACAGGTATCAACCAACAGCCGGAATGTAGGATGAGGCTGGATGGTAAACTGGTTGGCTAGCATGGACCGGAGGGGTCGAATAGCCTCCTTCTGCACAATAGGTTTCCATTAATCTATAGCTTTTCAGTGAATGTGCAGGATATGGAAGACACTCACAATATTTTCTGGGCCATAATGAAGTTAAAAATGAGCATAAGACCTGGGAATGGTAAGATCAAACACAACCAGACTGTGACAGTCAGTAATAAAGCACCTCCGGAAGGAACACAATGGATTTATGCTTTACCTTCCAACAGACAGCAGGTTAATAGCTATGGCTGATCCAATCACTTCCTGCATGTCCGAGCCAATGATTGCCAGCTCCACCATCAACCACAAAACAATTCGAGGGAACTGCAACATTTGTAATGCAGTAAACATTAGTTATTTGATCCAGTTGATAATGTGAACTCAATGAATACATCCTCAGGAAATTATAGTCATGTATCACAGGATAATTACAAATGAGGAAGGCCATTCAGCCCCTCTTAATACATCCATTCAAGAAAGGTTCCAAGCCCCGTTTCTCCAAGTTGTAACATCTGACTGTTATTTAAGGGATGCCAATTTTTTTTTTAAAAAACCTGTTCTCCTGTCAATGTGCTCATCACTCAGACAGGCCATGGAAAGTTGGGAACTTTTCTGGCTCAGTGCAAGCCCCTTGTGAGGAACAGGCTTGACTTACGGGTTCCTTAACTGCGGGTGGCATGGGCACGGGGCTAACGAGATCTTCAGTTGTGAGGTTTGGCTAATGAGATCTTCACTCAGGAGAAGGGAGGGTGAATGGTCCAGTCCCAGAAACAGTGTGGAGGCAGCCACCAAGGGCACTGGATGCCATGGCAGGTCGGTTTAAAGGCTCACCTCAGTGCTCTGGGATGGTCCAGGGGTAATAAAAGCAAATAGGCCCCCTCACCCTTGTCCTTGAGCTCCCCTCACCCCTAACCCTCCAACATCCATTCTTATGCCCCATTCATGCCAACTCATGCCCCACCCACCCCTTTGGTCCCTCACACTGATGCCAGCCCAGACCCCTTACTCATCCCCATAGCTCCTTATAGCCCCTAAGCTAAATTAGTACTATTGCATGCCAACCCATGCCACCCTTTGCCCTTGCATCCTCCATGCCAACTCACCCAGTATCCACAATGGGAAGACCTCAAGATCTATGCTTCACTGAAATAAAATAAAGTTCTAACTATCTTTTATTGACTTTGCCATATGAGAAAAACACTAATGGATAAAAGTACATTCAATACATTTCATTCCTTTCGATTATTTAACCCCTTATAAAAACAAACATTCTTATTTAGAGCCCCACATCAAAGACAGCTAATCCCTTAATAACCTCTTAGAACTGTCAATCAACCTGTGATAATGCCAGGTAATGGAAGCAATAAAGCAGGAATAATACTATAATGATAGGCCTCAGGCTTACATCAACAAACAGTGAATCAAATTGCAAGCAATTCCAAGGCACTTTTGTTCCCAAAAGATAAAGGGCAGGGGTTTTAAATAACAGACATTTGGACACACATTGTGTTTTTAAAAATGAACCTAACTGTGTAAGTGGCTGAGTTCATTAGGTGGATGAATATTGATTCACTCAATGCTGCTGGGTCATTATATGGAGCTGCAGGGTGGAAGTCTGTAGTTGGCCTGTGTGGTACATTGCTAACCTACTCATCAATCTAAAATGAGCACATGGACACTGTAGGGCTATTGATATACAAGTCCAGTATGGCCTTCAGAAATATGAAGGAATTCTTCACCATAAAAGTAGAGAACCTACTCAAAATTGGTTGTAGCAATTAACAAGCAGGTCAGGCTGTGCAGAACTGTTCAGAGAAAAGATAAACCAGTCCTGCTCATAGTGCTCAATGTGGGGACTAAAACAGAACTGGGCTCAGTGCTCAATGTGGACACTGACACTGAACTGGATACAGTGCTCAATGTGGGGACTGACACTGAACTGGATACAGTGCTCAATGTGGGGACTGACACTGAATTGGGCTCAGTGCTCAATGTGGGGACTGACACTGAACTGGACACAGTGCTCAATGTGGGGACTGACACTGACCTGGATACAGTACTCAATGTGGGGCTGACACTGAACTGGATACAGTGCTCAATGTAGGGACTGACACTGAACTGGACACAGTTCTCAATGTGGACACTGACACTGAACTGGGCTCAGTGCTCAATGTGGGGACTGACACTGAACTGGATACAGTGCTCAACCTGGGGACTGACACTGAACTGGATACAGTGCTCAACCTGGGGACTGACACTGAACTGGATACAGTGCTCAATGTGGACACTGACACTGAATTGGGCACAGTGCTCAATGTGGACACTGACACTGAATTGGGCACAGTGCTCAATGTGGGGACTGACACTGAACTGGACACAGTGCTGAATGTGGACACTGACACTGAACTGGATACAGTACTCAATGTGGGGACTGACACTGAACTGGTCTCAGTGCTCAATGTGGGGACTGACACTAAACAGGACACAGTGCTCAGTGTGGGGACTGAGTAGACCTCAATACAGGTTGTATTTCTGTTATCTCGCAGTCTCGCTACGAAACCTTTGCTGAGAGATTGAATTTATGAACTGTCAGTGCCAGCGCAGGTTTTTTTAAACCCCTTGGAAATGCATTTGGTAACACAAAATGAGATGAAAAGAAGTTACTTTCGAGAATACTGATGATCTCTTTCCCGGGTCAAAACAATTCCTAAATACAGAGGGTACTGGTTGAGGGTGTGCTGGATTAGGGAGGCACGTCAGGGGTACACTGACATCTTTCTTGTGTTATAGGTTGATCACTTCCACTGATCTGTCTCAATTTATGAAACCTCCACCCAGGGGTCTCCTGATGGGAGGTGGGCAGTGTAACAGTGACAGCAATCAGAATGAATCAGCACAAGACTTTGCCCACTCCCAGAGACCAGAAATGATGGAGCGGAGACTGGAGAGAAGGCTGGCAGATGGGAGACTGGGAGGGTTATGGAAATTAACAACTGAAGACTGGATGAGATTTTGGACTGCTAGTGTGGAGCTGCAGAGATAGTCTAGCTTAAGTTCTCTTTATTGACTAGAGCAGAAGATCCCTGACCATTGGACTTCCTCAGGATTCTTTCCATTCAGTACACCTTAAGTGTCCCCTCTCTGATCATGCTGCATGCTCCATGTGTTGTCGCCTTGCAATACAAATGTGGAACCCCCACAGTGCAGAAGCAGGCCATTCAGGCCATCAATTTCACACTGACCCACCCCATCCCTGTAGCTATTCTAATCAAATTTTCCAGCACTTGGCCCATAGTCTTGTATGTTTTGGCATCACAAGTGCACCTCTAAATACTTCTTCAATCGTAGAATCCTACAGTATGGAAGCAGGTCATTCAGCCCATCGAGTCCATACCTCCAAAGACCATCCCATCCAGACCGTCCCCCTACCCTATCCCTGTAACCCCACATCTCCCATGGCTAACCCACCTAGCCTACACATCCCTGGACACTATGGTCAATTTAGCGTGACCAGTTCACCCTAACCTGCACATCTTTGGACTGTGGGAGGAAACTGGAGCTCCTAGAGGAAACCAAGAATGTGCAAACTGTACACAGACAGTCGCCCAAGGCTGAAATTGAACCCAGGTCCTTCACGTTGTGAGGCAGCAGTGCTAGCCACTGAGCCACCGTGTCACCCTAAACATGAGGTTTGCACCTCGTAAATCATCCCCGACACTATCTGTACTGCAGAAAGCCCCAAGTCCTGTCCAGAGGACTGACTCGTTGCTCAAGGACTCCTTGGTCAGAGGTCTGGGCATGCAATGCATTTGGTAATCGGTGCTGACAAGAGTCCGATAATTGGGGAACAAGAACTAGTGCAAGCTAACAATTCAGCCAAGACGTTCTAATCTCCCACATGGAGAAACTTCGAGACCTCAAGCAATGTAGCAGAGAATGCAACTACAAAGAAGTGAGACACTTTTCATCATGACTTTCCCCAGGGTCAAAAGCTGGGAAAATCATTCCACTCAGCTCTACGTTTGCAACATTTTTCGATGGAGACATTTGGAAATTTGGCACATACCTTGGGATACTGCCTGCGACACACTTCAGCCAACTGCATGCCAGTTACAACTCCTAACCTGGCTGACAGCCTCTGTAACATGAGACCCAGAATGGTGGCCAACAACAAGACCCAAATGATCTGAATCAAGAATGGAAGATCAAAGACAAGACAAATTTCTCATAATATTGTCATAAAACTCCATAAAAAAATCCAGCATGCCCAAATATATTTTCAATCTCTGTTGTCATTCACCACCACTATACATTCCCTTTCAAAGGTGATCGTGATGTAGACAAATGCTCTCTTCCTACTCCCAGTGGACCTGACCCTGGAGCTGGTTTGCTATCCCCATGGGTGACAAAAACCGAAAGAACTGCGGATGCTGTAAATCAGAAACAAAAACAGAAGTTGCTGGAAAAGCTCAGCAAGTCTGGCAGCACCTGTGAAGAGGAATCAGAGTTAACGTTTCGGGTCTGGTGACCCTTCATCTCGTTTCTCCTTCACAGATGCTGCCAGACTTGCTGAGCTTTTCCAGCAATTTTTGTTTTTGTCCCCATGGGTAATACCTGGGTTTTATGCTCGGTCAGTAAGAGAAGTGTAGCCTGATTGAGGCAGGGACCAAGTGAGCAGCAAATTAGGCTCACGTGGGAATTTGGAAGAAAGAGTAAAGTAAGCTTTATTGCAACTATTAAAGTGCAATATTAAACTCTGCGTAGGCAGTCGCCCGAGGCTGGAATCAAACGCAGATTGTTGGCACTGCAGCAGCGCTAATGACTGAGCCACCATGCCATCTTGCCTTTTCTTGGTGTTGATTAACACATTGCTGTATGATCCGCACAGTGACAGAGTATGGCCTTCGTATAATCAAACAGTAACTTACTTCAACCACATTCTGGGGCAGCAAAGCATTGCTAGCAACATGGAGTCTTAGCTGTTAATGTCTAACCTGCTCCAAAGAGTTTGGCAGACAGTAACTCGTATTCTGGGTTGCAGCATGGAATCCCCATAGGAGTGCGACCAGCAAGTGTATGTAATTGTTGGTAGTTTAAGAATATAAATCTTAATGTTTTGTATTCTTAAAATCTAAAACTGTGCATAAGGGAAGGGGAGACATTTAAAGGTTGTATTTTCTTTTCTTTCAGGTCTAAGGAAAGTTTAAACAAGCTCTCCTAGTGCTGCGGCAACTTAATCATAGAATCCCCAGAGTGTGGAAGCAGGCCATTTGGCCCATCGAGTCCACACCAACCCTCTGAAGAGCATCCCGCCCAGACCCAGCCTCCTACCTTAATCTAATTAGGCTAATAAAGTAAACTGGTTAGATCTGGTTCTTGCAGGCCTTTTACTATAAAAGCAAGGCCTATAGTGCTTCCAGCATAGACAGTGACTGGTAAGAGAGTGTAAATGCTGGGAGTTGAGCTAAGCGTAAGAGTTTGGGCAAGTGTGGGAAGGAGGCATTGTTATGTCTTGTTCTGGCCATTTTTGCAAGGGGCTGCTTTGTGTGGAGGTGCTGCTGGTTAGATGTAAGAGTGGGCCTAGCTGAATACCAGGCTTTGTTGAAAATGTTGAGCAGCAACAAGGTAAGAATAAGATGAGACTTTTTTTCTTCCCTAAGTCTGCTTGTAGTTAGAGGGGCAGAGATAGCAGTCAGTGGAGTTGTCTGCTCCTCCTGCCAGAGTTGGGAGATCAGGGAACAGTTGACTGTCCTGGATGACTGTGTCTACAGGAAGTGTGACTGGCTGCAGTTCCTCTCAGACTGCATTGTTTGGTTGGAGTGGCAGTTGGAAACACTGAGGAGCAGACAAGGAGCAGAGAGTGTGATAGACACTAGTCATGGGGAAGTGGTCACACCACAAGTACAGTCAGGTAGATGGGAGGCAGGTAGTGTAGGAGTCTCTTGTGGTTATCCCCCTCTCAAACAGGTATACCCTTTTGGATACTGTTTGTGGGGTGGGAAGATGGGGAGGAACTGCCTCTCAGGGGAGTATAACAGCAGCCAGGCCTGTGGCACTGTGACTGGCTCTGTTGTAAAGCAGGGCTTGGCAAATTCCAAGCGAGCAATTGTGATCAGGGACTCTCTAGTCAGGGGCACGGATAGGTGTTTCTGTGGCTGTGAGTGATGCTCCAGGATGGCATGTTGCCTCCTGGGTGCCAGGGTCAAGGACATCTTGGAGCAGTTGCAATTTCTCAAAGTGGAGTGTGAGCAGCTGGGGGTTGTTGTACACATTGGTACCAATGACTGAGGTAGACAAAAGGATAAGGTCCTGCAGAGTGAATATAGGGAGTTCGACAGGAGGTTAAAAAGCAGTACGTTAAGGGTAGTGATCCCTGGATTACACCCAGTGTGTCGTGCTAGTACGAGTAGGAGGATATGGCAGGTGTATGTGTGGCTGAGGAGCTGGTGCAGGGGGCAGGGATTCAGGTTTTTGGATCACTGGGATCTCTGTTGGGGCAGAAGTGACCTGTACAAGAGGGATGGGTTGCACCTGAACTAGAGGGGGACCAATATCCTGGTGGGGAGATTTGCTGGAGCTATTCAGGAGGCTTTAAACTAGTCTGGCAGGAGGGTGGGACCCTAAGCAGTAGTGAGACAAAAGAGAAAGTTGAGGCTGGTGTACAAGTTAAAGAAAGCAAGTTCAATAGTCAAGGCAGACAAGAGCATGGCAGGGAACAAGGGAAAACTGATGAATTAAACTGTGTTTATTTCATTGCGAGAGGCCTGATAGGTCAGGCAGATAAACTCAGGGCATTGATGGGAACATGGGACTGGGATATCATAGGTATTACAGAAACCTGGCCAAGGGAGGGATAGGACTGGCAGCTCAATGTTCTGAGGTACAGATTGTGATGATACTATAGCTTTTAAGAGATTTTTTTTGTGTGGAGAAGTTGAGACAGAGGTACACAGTGGTCTGTTCCAATACAATAAAGTAAACAGCTTGTGAGGCCTTTGGTTTTTTTTAAAGTTGGAACAGTAGAAGCAGCATGAAGGGGTGGAGTCAGGCTCCCACAGAACCAGAATTTTTAGTTTAACTTTCAGCAGTTGTTGGGGTTTTGAAGCTGTTACTCTTCTCTCTATTACAGCTAAAAGCTGGAGTTGTTTCTACTGAGAATTGCATGAAATTTACTGAAGTTGCCTTTACCATGGGTGTGTTTATGGGATGTTACTATATTGGAAAAGTTACTGTTTACTAGTTAAATAATCTATTATTCTGTTAAGTTTCCTAATAGAGTTAAAATTAGACCAATCCTTCCTCCTTTTGTTTGTATTTTAACTGCAGAGTAAGAATAAAGTCTGTTTGCTTAAAGCCAAGAAGTGTAACCAATCAAATTACACCTGGAACACAGCACCTTACACTATCTTTTAGATAAGAAAAAGTCAGGGTCTGTACTATCTCCTTGATATATTTGAGGGGGGTTTGGTCTGGTCATAACAAGATGCTACGTGAATGATAAAAAGGGAGGCAAGAGAGGAGGGGGAGTGGTGTTTTGAGGGAAAACATCATTGCAGTACTTGGAGAATATTCCAGGGGATCATCCAGCAAAGCTATATGGGTGGAAGTCAGAAATAAGAAGGGGGTGACCACTTGATTGGATTGTATTATAGGCCACTCCCCCCAACAGTAGGCAGGAAACTGAGGAGCAAATATGTAGGGAAATAGCAGATGGCTGTAATAGTAGGGGGTTTTAACTTTCCAAACATACACTGGGACTGCCATAATGTTAAGGGCTTGGACGGAGAGGAATTATTTAAGTCTGTTCAAGAAAACATTTTCAATCAATGTATAGATGGCCCTACTAGAGAAGGGGCAAAACCTGAGCTCCTCTTGGGAAATAAGGCAGGGCAAGTGACTGAGGTGTTGAGGGGGAGCAATTTGGGACCAGTGATCATAATTCTATTAGTTTTAAAATAGTTACGGAAAAGGGTAAGTCCGGTCCACAAGTTTAAAATTTAAAATTGGGCCAAGGCCAATTTTGATGGTATTAGGGAGGAACTTTCAAAAGTTGATTGGGAGAGGCTGTACGCAGGTAAAA